TGTTGTTGGAAGAAGACATACGTGCCTTTCTCTTTCTTATTTTATAGCCTGCTGTTAAAGTAAAATTAAAAAAAGATGACCGTGCTGCCACCTTAGGTGTATAAAAGTAAGGTGGGCATCATATGGACATATTCGTGCCGTTATACTACGAAAATGGAAACTTGACAAATAAAAGAGTTGCCATTAGTAGAAGGCCAACTAAAGCCCAACTAGAAATCACTACAATGTACACCAATAAAAATAGGTGATTTTGCAGGTGATTTAATTCTGTCGTGATTGTCTTCGTTTACAAAATGACACTGCACAAAATGGTCGTACATTCTGGAAAAAAGAAGCAATGTCAATTAATATGTTTACATATAAAGCCGTTCTTGGTGCGCTGGGCTGATCTGTACCTATTTGACCGCTTGGTGTAGGCTCTGATAATTACACGGGCTTATTCAGTTAGCTTAAACGACACAAATATTCTATGACTGTGTACTACAGGTACCTAAACAGCAGTCTTCATCACAGCATCATGTTAATCACCATTTTCCAAGCCAACTTAGCAGCGTGTTGCTTATCCAGGATAGCCCGTTGTGCATATGACCTAACAATAATAAACGTACCATGTATTTTTATTTAACTTTAACACGCATCTGTTCGTGCGTAGTCCTTTATGTTCCCATACGATATAGGCGAAAATGCGCCTCCCAGGCAGCAGATGATAAGAATTGACCACGGTTATTATGATAAAAGGTTTTGGATTCATCCTGGAAATATCATCCTAGACAGTATTAGGTACTGCCTCTGATGGTGGATCCGGACATGACTCCGAAAGGTCAGGTGAATAAAGTTGTTGTTTCAGCGACAGGGTCTGTTTTTCGCAAATGCCGTCTTAAAATATAGGTCTGTGTTTGAAGTAAATATAACTTTTATTTCAGTTACGCTTGCATTCAACTCTGCATTTTGCATTAAAGATTCGGTGGAATTTGGTCACCTTTTCAGCGGAAAAGACCCTTTGGGCCTTTAATATACAATTACTTTATTTATATGCGTGACTGAGAATACGTGAGGGTCAAAGTGCATGTATGCGAAAGGCTCATATCCGGAAATGACATTTGGCACTCGCATTCCGACTAGGGTTTCTGAAGATAATCGTGCGACAATAGACTCAGTTTAGACCCAAATATATATCTAACTTGCTTTCTGATTTTTAGGTGAAAAAGATGGATGCTTTAGCAATTCCACTGACCCCGATTGTCCTACTACAAACCCTTTCGTTCCGTTTGTGCTAGCTGTCTACGCCCTGATTGCAACGATCTTTTTGATCAATTTTCTCATTGCTATTTTCAAGTAAGCAGAAAAGATTCAATTTTCTAAATACCTCAATATCGTTTGACTTCAATAAAGGTCTCTTATCGGCCAAACTTCTATGACTGCGCACAATTTGTTTACTGTAGCATGCCTATGCTCATTCTAGGCTTCGGTACTTCGATAGTACAGTAAGTGAGGGATCTGATAAAAATTTAACCGAAATTCTGAAACGCCTTTGCGATTAGGAGGCAAGACTAAAGTGACGTTGCAGTTTTAACTATCGTGTAGCCTAGTGCGAAGCAAGGAGTCCGGCTTTTGAATGTTCACCCTTTCAACTGCCTGGAAGAACTTCAATCGCTTAAAATGACTACATAAGTAGTATACACTGTCCAATTATGCTCGATGCCCTTATACCGTTAACTCTATTTTATAGAAAATGTGGACAAAATTATTCTTCCCTGCACTTATGTGGTAGAAAATCACGTATTCTTAGCAGCTTATATTCAAAGGACAGGTAGCTGTAGTTTAAAAAGTTTTCTCATTTCGAAATATTGTTTTGCCCGATCTGCCATAGCGTTTCTGTTTAGAATTTCCAGTCGACAAGCCGTGTGCTTTCTGGGTAAGGAAAGTCATATCTTCCTTCATGCCACCGATCAGTTGTGGAAGTCAGTCCTCCCGTTTTGGTTTAGAGCTCGCTCTCAAGCCTTGTCAGCACCTGCTCAATAACTAGCATATTGTAGACAAAAATACGTTCCTGACAAAGACAAGGGAGACGGAAATGGTTACTTGTGGCTTATTAGCTGTCACGAGTCAGTCATACCCAACTTCTGGTAATGTGACACCAAAGGCTCTAACCTGCGGCCTTCTTGGATAGAAGTCCAAGGTGCTTACTGTTAAATGTCCTTCAGTTTATTATTTTATCACGGTTTTTTCGGAATACCTAGGCGTAGTAGCATCCAAGAGCAAAGCCAGCCAATTCTGTAATTCACACCCGACTCTCTGCCCTAGGTTTTGTTTGGCAAATTGTTGCTGCAGTTCCAGCATAGCCTAGGCTGCGCGAAATAGCGGGTAACCAGCCATAAGTCAGTTTTCAGGTTCTCTCTCGTCTCACATCTTTGACCTTGAAACGGCTAACTTTCACCTGCTCCTCTTGTTTCTCATACGGGCCAATCTTTGGAGGATCGTTGTCAGTCCTCAGTCTGCATGCTGTTTACTCACCTGAGGGCACATGTGCGCACATGTTCAGCTCAAAATAACGTTTGCTACCTCTGGTGAATGCCCTCAAAGAGCAACCCAATTCTAAGTCGTGAAGGCTTCATGCTAAGTTTATGAGTTTCCCTCGCGAGTGCAGAGGGTAATTGTGAGCGAACTCTGTCTAGAGAGTCAAAGACAACGATTTTTTATCTGGTGGATGTCAGACGCCAGGACCTTTGAGTATTCCTATTTAAATTGGGGGCTGAAAAAGGAAACATAGGACAAAATAGATACCCTTGTCTCTTCATAATGACAAATCAACTTAATATAATAGGAAAAAATGTAGAGCTTTCTCCGAATAATATTTTTCTTGATTTAAGGCGCATGCGTTCAGTATTCTTCTGTGGAGCAAGCGCC